TGTGATATCTAGGCCTTAATTTCTGCTTCTCCATGGTTGTTCCTGTAGGTCTTTGGGGTTTTATTCAAGCCAAAGAGAGTGGTAATTAAGAGCAGAAATCAGATTTTTTAAAAATCTGTCCACATGGGCTTCCCTGGTGGCGCAGTGGTTGAGGGTCCGCCTGCCAATGCAGGGGACACGGGTTCGTGCCCCGGTCCGGGAAGATCCCACGTGCCGCGGAGCGGCTGGGCCTGTGAGCCATGGCCACTGGGCCTGCGCGTCCAGAGCCTGTGCTCTGCGGCGGGGGAGGCCACAGCAGTGAGAGGCCCGCATACCGCAAAAAAAAAAAAAAAAAAAATCTGTCCACAAGACAGAAAGGTGTTCCCTTTATCCAACGTTGGCTGAAACTGTCCCCTTGTTGACAGCATCCACAGAGAGGGCAAACCTCCCACACTGACTTATGACATCTTTGTTTCCTTAATGCCAGCCAGAGAGTTGGTTAAAACGGTAACTAGTCAACTCAACAACAGCAAAAAGCAACCCGATTAAAAGATGGGCAAAGGACTTGAATAGACATTTCTCCAAAGCAGATGTACACATAGGCCATAAGCACATGAAAAGATGCTCAGCATTTCTAATCATGAGGGAAGTGCAAGTCAAAACTTCAGTGAGGTAGCACATCACACTTATTAGGTTGGCTGTTATCAAAAAAAATAATAATAATAACAACTGCTGGTGAGGGTGTAGAGAAATTGGAACCGTCGTGCTTTGCTGGTGAGACTGTACAATGGTGCAGCTGCTGTGGAAAACAATATGGCAGGTTCTCAAAAAATATTGAACATAGAATCACCATATAATCTAGCAATTCCACTTCTAAGTATATACCCAAAAGAATTGAAAGCATGTTCTCAAATAGATTGGACACCCATGTTCACGGCAGCATTATTCACAATAGCCAAAAAGTGAAAGCAACCCAGTTGTCCATTGACAGATGAATGCATAAACGAAATGTGGTCCATCCATACAGTGGAAAACTCTTCAGCCTTAAAAAGGAGGGAAATTCTGACACACGCTACAACATGGATGAACCTTGAAGACATTATGTTACGAGAAATAAGCCAGTTACAAGAAGGACAAATACTGTATGATCCCACTTATATGTGGGCCCTCTAGTAGTCAGATCCATAGACACAGAAAGTAGGATGGTGGTTGTCAAGGGGTACGATGGGGGGTGGGATGGAGAGTTGTATTCAATGGGGATCGAGTTGCAGTTGGGGAAGATGAAAAAGTTCTGGAGATGATGGGGGGGTGGTTGCACGACAGTGTGAATTACTTAGATGGGAAGTTTCATGTTATGTACGTCTGACCACAATGAAGTAAAGTAGCTAGTTCAGGAATTTGGTGAGACCAATACCCAAGGGGCAGCTTCCTCCCACTCCTTCCCTACCGATGGGTGACAAGCTTCCCTGAAACTACCCGGCCTGCCTTTCTCTGCTGCCGACCAGAAACCCTTCAGCCGGGACCATCTCTCGCCTGAAGGACCGCAGCCCAGCCAGATCCTCATCTCGGAGCTCAGGACCCGTGCCCTGTCATTCTTAAAGAAAAACACCAAACTCCAGCGTGTCGGGCATGGAACAGCCTGGGCCCCACGTTGGTGCCCCCTCCCCTCCGAGCTGGTTCCTTTTCTGAAGAGCAGTTGATCCCTGGTCGTCCGAGCAGTGGCTCTTGCAAGAACTAAGACCCCTTGTTCCTGCCCCGCCTGCTCAATCTAAGAAGCTTTCTGGGCACTTCCTGAATGATATTGGTATTTGAGAAAACAAATCTTTTCAGGGATTGAGGCTCGTGTCTTCCTGGAATGGTCAGAAATGAAGTGGTCACAACTGATGTTTTTAAATTCCCAAATCACAGATAGCGAACCGAGTGGTGGGGAACAGAAAGAAGGGAATGGAGGCTGGGTCGGCGTGTAGGGACCTGCAGTGCAGGTGGGCTGCATAGGATCTGCTCAGTGAGCGAGTGTTGGGCGGGGGGGCAATCAGCAAGCTTCCAGCTGGCGAGCTCCCAGTGGAGTAGCTGAGCCATCACTCCTCGTGGGTGTTTTGGAAGCTGCCTGGCGTATGTTCTCAGAGGTTCCTCTCTCTTTCCAGGGCCGTCTCCTGCACCACTCGGTGTGCTGGCTAACAGGTACCGGCACCAGATTTCCCCCTCCCCCGTCCTGTCTGTGAAATCTCAGAGACTTGAGTCTGAGTACAGGGCTGGTTTCACACAGACCATGTGGGGCTGGGGCACGGGAGCAGGGGCAGCAGGTACAGTTTGATCAAGGTGCTGATCATGATAACGCTTGTTAGCCATTAAGGAAGGGGCTACTTCCTGGGTGTGGGAGTTAATATGATGTCACAGAAATCATATTAACTTTCCATCCCAGACTTTCAGTAAAAAACCCCTTTTGGGGTAAAAAATTGGAACCTTCACTTCCTAGTAGTTTACAAGAAAACACATAGTGGCAAAATTACTGAATTCAGTGATGCTTTTTTTTAACTAAATTTGTGTCTTTTTCACCCTGTTATGCGTTTGAAAGATAGTGGCACACATAGCAGGAGCCGTGCCATTTGTTTGGTCTTCCCACTGAGTGCCATGCGCGCGTGCAACCCCATGCCGAGAAACTTCTCCTCGTAGTGGTTCTGGGAGCCCGAGTGGGACCCACCTTAGTCTAATCCTCATTTCTTATGGTATTTAGGCCCAGGGTCCCCAGCTGCAGTCGCTGGCCCGTGGATCTCCTGCCAAGGCCGGAACCATCTCTTTCTGTGCAGTTAAGTGCAGGCCTCGTGGGCTGTGTACACGTGTCCTTCCTGTCTGTTTCCTTGCTGTAGCTTGCAGACGGCTCACTGCTGACCACAGGCTGCAGGGCGCTTTCTCCCGTGTGTCCCAGAGACCTTGGTAGGAAACTGTAGGTCCACAGACGCATGGGCCCCGGGACAGCGAGGCTTCTGCGCTGCCTGTTTGATCTCATTGTCCGCAGGCCCTGAACAGACCTCCTCTCCCGTAAATAACAACTCCAGGCTCAGCTGATGAGCACAGGGACTGTCAGCGGGCGCTGAGCTGTCCTGGGAGGAGAGTGTGGAAGGGGCGGCTGGGGAACCCTGGCCCCCTGCAATTCTCACCTACTCTCCCAGGCAACCCAGCCTTCAACCAAAGAACCGCTGTAGCCCCGCATGCAGTCAGTGCCGGCGAAAGAAAGGCCTGGAGGTTTGGATTTCTGCCCAGAAAACAAGTGCCTGCCTGCCCGAGTGGCCACCTGTCAGTCCCTGTCTACAGGCCAGGAGCTGCTGGACCAGGAGCTGCTGCACGGTGGGCCCCGGGCAGGGGCAGGGCCAGTGCCGCCCTCCTGCCACAGCGCCGGGCACATTCATGTGGGCCTCTAGTGTGGCTGGTGTCTGGCAGCCCAGGAGGCTTTACAGACCTGCGTGGGAGGGGGAGTAGTGGAGATGCCCACTAGTGGAGATGCCCCATCTGCGGAGGCAGCCCTGGCGCGTGGGCCTCCGGTGACTTGGGTCCAACAGCGGATGGCAGTCTGGGCAAGGAGCTAGCTCCTGTGTCTCCAGACCTGGCTTTTTGTGTGAGCCCCGAGCCCTCCAGGCAAACAGCATCTACGTGGCTGACAGTCTCGGGCCCCCCTACTCTACTCGGAGGAGGTTTTCTAAGTGGCAACCCTAGACAGCCCTTGTGCCAGGTCCATGTTGGTGCTATAAGCAGGCCCGGCCAGAGAGGCGCTCCCGAAAGACGGGGCGGCCACTCTCTTGCACTGATTAGATGGTGTGAAGCTGTAAAGCAGGAAGCATTCAGAGCCCATAAACCATCCAGGCCTCAGGCCAGCAGACGCAGGTAGGGACAGGAGTGCCCACGGCCTCTCCGGGCCTCTGCTCTTGCCTCCTTTGGGGCTGTGTCCTTCATGCCTCCTTCATGGGGACCTCTGCCCTCACTACACGGTGCCCTGTGTCACCCACGGCAACTGGAGTACTGTCCTTTTTTTTCTTTTGTGTCTCATACTTATTTTTAATGGAAGAATCTAGTTGTAAAATACGCGTCACATAAAATTTACCATCTTAGCCATGTTTAGGCGTCAGTTCAGTGACGTCAAGGACATTCACATTGTCATACGATCTTCATCTCCATCTGGCCACGAACTCCCCACCCCAGCCCCTGGTAACTCTATTCTGCTTTCTGTCTCCATGGATTTGATGACTTGAGGTCCCTCCTATAAGTGGGATCGCACAGAATTTGTCCTTCTGTGACTGGCTTATTTCACTCAGAATGATGCCCTCACGGTTCATCCTTGTAACAACATGTGTGTCAGGATTCCCGTCCTTTTGTGAGGCTGAACCATAGTCCAGTGTGTGTCTAGACCACGTTTTGATGATCCATTCAGCCATCGATGTACATTGTGTTGTTTCCGTTTTTAGGTTATTGCAAATCGTGCTGCTGTGAACGTGGGTGAACAAATACCTCTTTGAGACCCTGATTTCAGTGCTTTGGGGTATAAACCAGAAGTGGGGTTGCTGGGTCCTAAGGTGATCCTTTTCCACAGCAGCTGCACCCCTTTACGTTCCTACCAGCAGTGCACGAGAGTTCCAGTTTCTCCACGGCCCCGCCAATGCTGTCATTTTTTGCTCGTTCTGATAGTAGCCATCCTAATTGGGGTGAGGTGATGCCAGCCTTTCTTTTTGAAATCAAGTGTCCGGGACAAATGGTCTGAAAATGTAACAGGATTCTAAAGGGGGTCCAGATCACAGCTGAAATATTTAGGCAAGGCTCTACTGTTAGCCAGACACACTTACGTACTTGTGAGCACACGCAGGCACACACACCCGGTCTGTGGCTCCAGTTGCCCCTGGGGTTCCCAGGTTACTGGTGGCGGTGCCTCAGGGGCTGCCGGCGCCTCTGCCGTGAGCCCCGTTGAACGCAGCGCATGCGCACTGCTCTCATGGAGACGTTTTTTTCCCCCCGTGTTTGTGTTTTGGCTCCAGAACCACGACCACGCCTGCATTGCCTGCCGCATCATCCACCGGTCGGACGAGCACCGGCCACCCCTGCTGCCCCCCAAGGCGGACCTGACGGTGGGCCTGCACGGCGAGTGGGTGAGCCAGCGCTGCGAGGTGCGGCCCGAGGTCCTCTTCCTCACGCGCCACTTCATCTTCCACGACAACAACCACACCTGGGAGGGGCACTACTACCATTACTCCGACCCCGTGTGCAAGCATCCCACCTTCACCATCTACGCCAAGGGTCGCTACAGCCGCGGCGTGCACTCCGCCAGGGTCATGGGCGGCACGGAGTTTGTGTTCAAAGGTAGGGCTCCTGCCCCACACCCCATACCCCGAGGTCACGGCAGCAGTTTGGGGACGTGTTTGTGGAGGCGGAGCCAGGGGCAAAGGGCATCTTCTCTGCTAGGGATGCTGGGGAGTGGACTGCCTGCCCGCATCGTTCTCTGCAGCCTCGGAGCTGGCGTTAGTGACGCCCAGGTGCGCAGAGTGTGCCCGTCGTGCCCTTGAGAAGATGCCACGTGCTTGCAGGCGGGCGGGCAGTATGCCTGGTGATCACCTAAGTAAGGCAGGTAAAGGGTGACATTCTCCAGGCTACAAGGCTGTGAGCAAGGGGTGGTGGGGGCCTTGTGATCGCTATTTCTAGACTTTTTTTTAAGCTTGTGCATCTTTTTAGGAAGGTGTCAACCCTGTCATGGACAAATAAGAGGGTTGGCCTAGATACCCCTCCCAGGATAGCATCCTGTGATTCAGTCCATTTAATATGAAGTATTTCTGCCAACCCAGATAAGCCCTGGGGCATTTTACTGCCCCCCCCCCCCACCTTAGGGAGGAAGATTGGCTCTAGGGACAAAGGGCCTTTGGTAGCTGTCGCCCAGAGAACAGCTGTCTGGGTCTCAGTCCCCTCCAAAGCTCTCACGTGTACGCAGGATATGGGCCCCTGGGAGAGCCTCAGAAGCGTCCTCTACAAGGGCTGGGATTTCCATTGAGCAGATTGGAGCAGATTTTTTTTGCTTGCAGCCTAATTTATTTTAGTTGCCTGATGTACGGGCCAGTATAGACTGCTCACTAATATAGGTGTCTGACAGCAAAACTATTTAAAAACCTCAAAACCTATTCGTAAAAACAAATGCCAGTTTTCGTTGAATACTGTGTCCATCCCAAAGAGCAGGGTCTTCACGGGAACGGGCTTGGTCAGCTGTAGTCTGGGCTCAGCATTTACTGCCAGATGGGCTGGACTTTTCCTGGTGGCGCCTTCAGGGTGCTTGGCGTGGCCACCGGTCACGTCCAGACATGGAGCCTTTTCCATCTGAGGGTCTTTTCTGTGGGCTCCGGTCTGGTGGGTTGGTCTGCAGGGTGGGTTTGAGAGCAGAAGCCTGTGAGGCTTGGTGCCTCCGGCATCCTTGAATCACGGAGCTGTCCTGTGTCCTTGGCAGTGAACCACATGAAGGTCACCCCCATGGACGCAGCCACTGCCTCGCTCCTCAATGTCTTCAACGGGAACGAGTGCGGGGCCGAGGGCTCCTGGCAGGTGGGTGTCCAGCAGGACGTGACCCATACCAATGGCTGTGTGGCACTGGGCATCAAACTACCTCACACGGAATACGAGATCTTCAAGATGGAGCAGGATGCCCGCGGCCGCTACCTGCTCTTCAATGGCCAGAGGCCCAGCGACGGCTCCAGCCCGGACAGACCCGAGAAGAGAGCCACATCCTACCAGATGCCCTTGGTCCAGTGTGCCTCCTCGGCGCCCAGGGCTGAGGACTTCTCTGAGGACTCCGGGCAGCATCAGCACCGGAGCCGGGCACCCGGGAGCGGCCCGTGTCCCCTGCTGCTGGCTGGGCTCGCTGGCCTTTGGACTCTGCAGCCCTGGCACAGTCTTGGATAGAAGCGCTTACAGAGTTTGATTTTTCCAAACCAGGATGCCTTACAATTTACAGATTTTCTTTACAGAAAGAAAAGACACTTCTTCCTCGGATGCACTTGAGCGGCTGAGAACAGTCCTCCTCCCCCGCCTGGCCCCCGCCCGCCTGGCCTGAGTCATGAGCTGTTTGAAGTTTTGGCTTTGAACTGCATCCAGTCGGATCCCAGGCCTGGGCGTCCTCACCATATAATTGCACTTTAAGACCACAGAGAGGTTCAGGCGAGCGTGTTGGCAGCGGGAGCAGGGTAAGCGCTCCATCTTCTTTTCTTCCTCTTCGTGATTATTGCATTTCGGGGGGGAACTGAGGAGAAACAAATAGCAGCTTCAGCTTTTCCTGCTGCTTCACTGCGGTTGCTTTCTGCTCCTTTGAGCCTGTCTCACTCTCCGAGTTTTCCAACCTGGAATGCAGTGCAGAGTTGGTTTGGGACTGCGATCCAGACACCTTTGATGAAATAAAGAAGAGATAGGGGTGCAGGAAAAGACACTGGTGTAACGGAACCACCTTGACAGCTTTATGCAAAAAGAGAGCAAATCCACACTTTCAAATGTTGAAAAGTATCTGTAATTAAAGTTTCAGAGTCATTTAAACGTTGGTTGTTTTAACTTGTTGGGAGATGTTGATGCTGGTCTCTGGGTGGCTGCAGGATGCACGCTGCTCTTACCTGCCCGGGGGACAGGGTGGTGGAGTATGTGTCAGGTGGAGGCTGTCCCGCTACAGACGGACAGGAGCAGCAGCGCAGGGAGGGTGACGGTGCGTGATGGTGCCCCAAGTGACGCAGTGCCCATTCGGCCTGACCTCATCTCCGTGGGACCCCATCCCGGCTCACGTCGTGTCTGGAGCTTCACTCTGTCATCTCTGTCACTTCAAAGACCAAGACTCAGAGGCCACGCGTGGGCACCACGGGCCTGGCTGTGCAGAGAAGGCGGTGGGGGGATCCTAGCCGGCTGCCCCATGAGACCATCCACCCTCCTAACGGGACGGGCCGGCCCGACCCGGCTGTGTCACTGCAGAGGGTCTCAGGGCACCTTCTACAGAGTCTGTGAGGGTGCATGAGTGACATCTGCGTGTCACTTTGGATTATTACGAATGGTGCGCTCAGGACGCCAAAGGTGGTTGCCAGGGGAGACCGATGGAGGGAAATGGTGAGTAAACGACAGAAAGCCTGGACATAACTAAAGACCAGTGTGGAAACCACGGTCAAGGTCTAGAGTCACACCTATATTTAAGAGTTACCCTTACGAGATGCTGTGACGTTAAGCTATAAGTGGGGCGTGGAGGACCACAGTGCTTTACCTCTAGATGATATTTGACGTTGTGGTTGAGGGAGTTTATTCAAGTGAAAGTACTAACTTAATGTCTGCCAAGTTTATAAACAGAGATGTCAAAGATACTCCCACAATACACATTTTACCTGTGGGTCTATTTAATTAATACTAATGCTATCTTTAAAGAATATAATAAAATTATGTAAAAAGCTATGATCACTGCTAGAGAATACTTCAGTGATTTACCATAAAAATGATAGGTTTATAGCCACATAATTCACAGCCACTCACCTGGACTTAGCTATTCACACTGTTTAAACGTACACTCCACATATGTATACACACGCATAGGTACATATACCCAAATATATAGGCATCAACGTGTATACGGTGTGTGACTATATGTATATGTGTCTTAGGGATGACATGAAATTCACTTTCTGATCCACTACAGAGAATGACCAGTATAGTTTATTCACAGATTATTGTCAGTTGGATTTATGGCTGTTACTTACCGTCTCACCACATACATCACGTCCTAAAACTAAACCGCCTGTGCAGCCTATGAAGATCGTCATTTTAAGTGGTTTCCCGTCACCTTGAAGAAACATAATGACCAATCTTTAAGGTTTGAGAGCTGGAAATTTTAACTCAAGACCAAGATGCTATCTCTGAGGAAGGAATGGCTGACTCTAGAATATTCCATGACAAGCAGAAAAGACTCCATGACAGGCCCTCGGGCCCTGGCAAGTCTACCCCTAAGTTAGAAGTGGGTGGTTCCTGTAACTCCGAGATTTGGGGGAGGTAGGGAGTGAATATAGGACAACTCTCCTAGGTGTCGTTGGCCTCTGGGGACTAGACTTCTCGTCCCCAGAAGCAGGCCGGTCAGGCACAGGGTCAGAAAGTTGAACCTTGGGCAACAATGCAATTTGGTTGTGATCTAGGCTTCAGACTCTATAAAATCCAGTTGACCCTGGACTCAGGAAGGAGTTTCCTAGGGTCCCAGTGTCTCCTGTACAGAACGAAGGGAGTTTGTTCAGACAGGACAAGCCCAGCCGTCTGTCCTAGAGGAACATCGCCCATCATGTCCAGCATCTGGAACTGCCGGGCACCGTCCATCCTAAGTAGTCCGTCTCCGGGTTCCCGTGCTGTGCAGCCCACCAGGGTGACTCTCTGTGCTGCTCAACACGAAGGATCCCTGTTAGAGGAGCTGGCAGCCCAGGGCATCCTTGGTGGGGCCTCATACCCACACCTGATGGAAACAACTTGAGTGTAAGAGTCTTGTGGTTCCTGGTTGAAGGAAAAGCTTTACGATAGTAAGAGCGCTGTTCTCTAGTCCACCAACTCTTTAAATATATTCTTGAAAACAAAGATGATGTTCACAGCCGTCCACAGAAACATCACGATGTTTTATTTTAAATGGTACAGCCCATCCCTGTAACACATACTGGGTCCCTGGCAGTGGACTACAGAAGCCAACAGACAGCATGTAATTAGGTATTTCAGGACACTGTCCTCAAAGGGAGATGCTGGACCACCTGAGTTGGGGTGGAGGAGAAGGGGTGGTGGGTGGGACAGGGAGAGCAGGTCCTCTCTTTTCTCCCCCGCACAGACTTTTCTGGCCTTCTTGAGACATCCGAGGGTTCATGAACCCAAACAGCCTTCATTAGGATACAACTGCAAATAAGAGCAAATAAAGGCAGCTGGATAATAAATGTTTCCCACTGATTTCTAGGTTCTGGAGAAAGTGCATAAGCATTCTTTTCATACCAGTAGGAGAATCACATGTCCTAAAATACCAATTGAATTATTCAAATCCCTGTGATGGTCCAAGAGTGTTTCTGGCTCACAGGGTAGAAAATTGCTGATGTATTTGGAGCCCCTGTTTTATCGCAACCCATTTCCTTGGTGTCGTTAGGCAGAATTAACACTATCACAAGGAAGAATATTGGCCAAGTCATGACCTCCAACTTCTCATTGGCTAAGATGTGACGGAGCCGACACTTCATACGGCAGCATCCCTCTGGGGGAGACTGAACTGACACCTAGTTGTCAGCCACCAACGGTGTGAGGCCGGACAAATACATCTCCTTTACTCAAGCTCACTGCCCACTGGAGAGCGAGTCTCAGGGTCTAACTAGTGCCTCTCATTCAAAGAGCAAGGCCATGGTTTCCATGGATGCATTTGGGTCTCTTAGTTTCTGCCATTTGTTGTACAGCCACCTCTGTGGCCCCTACGCCCTGGAGAATACCACCCAGAAATCCCATCCCCCTTCATTTAAGGAATCCCATCCCCCTTCATTTAAGGAAACCAATGTAGCTGTTACATTGGAATTCAGAGGGGCAAGGGTTCGTGGGCTCAGAGAGCCACATGGTGCAGTCTGTTGTGTGTGAGGGGTGACTGTGTGTGGGCTTTTTTGCTGTTGGGTTGTAGGAGTTCCTTCTATATTTTGGCTATTAACCCTTTATTAGATACATGGTTTAAAAATGTTTTCTCCAATTCATAGGTTATCTTTTCATTATATGAATAATCTTAACTAAGGAAGTAAAAGACTTGTACGTTGAAAACTATAAAACATTGATGAAAGAAACTAAGGGAGGCACACATAAATGGGAAGACATCCATGGTCATGGATTGGAAGAAATAACATTGTTAAAATGGCCATACTACCCGAAGAGAGCTGCAGATTCAATGCAATTCCTATCAAAATCTCAATGGCATTTTTTTCAGAAATAGAAAAAACAACCCTAAAATGTATGTGGAACCATAAAGGACCCTGAGTAGCCAAAGCTATCTTGAGAAAGAGCAAAACTGGAGGCATCACATTTCCTGATTTCAGAATTTATTGCAAACCCACAGTCCTGTGGGGTACTGACACAAAGCCAGACACACAGTCACCTGGTCTCTTGACAAGGGTGCCAGGAATACACAAGAAGAGTCTCTTCAACGAATGGTGTTGGAAAGGCTGGATATACACATGCAAAAGAGTGAAATTGGGCCCTTACACCATAGACAAAACAAAACAAAGCAAAACACAAAGTCAAAATGGATTCAAGGCTTAAACATAAGACCCAAAACTGTTAAACTCCTAAGAAGAAAACATAAGGGAAAAGTTTCATGACATTGGTCTTGACAGTGATTTCATGGATATGATTCTAAAAGCATAGGCAACAAAAGCAAAAATAAACAAATGGATTATGTCAAACCAAAAAGCTTCTTCACAGGGCTTCCCTGGTGGCGCAGTGGTTGAGGGTCTGCCTGCCGATGCAGGGGACACGGGTTTGTGCCCCGATCCGGTAGGATCCCACATGCCGTGGAGCGGCTGGGCCCGTGAGCCATGGCCGCTGAGCCTGTGCATCCGGAGCCTCCGCCCCAAAAGGGGAGAAACAAAAAAAGGAAGAGCCCAAACCAAAAAAAAAAAAAAAAAAAAAAGCTTCTTCACAGCAAAGAAAAAAATCAACACAGGGAAAAAGCAACCCATGGAATGAGAGAAAATATGGCAAACCATATATCTGATAAGGGTTAATCTCCAAAATACATAAGGAACTCCTACAACTCAATAGCAGCAGCAAAAAAAAAAAAAAACCCCAAAAGCCCCCCAAATAACTTGCTTTAAAAAATGGTCAAAGGATTTGAATAGACATTTCTCAAAAAAAAAAGTTCTGTTTTCTCTTCTCTGACTATTTTTGCTGTGGAAACAACTGGATGATGTCATAAATGAATGGTATAAACATGGAAGTGCAGACTTTACAAAAGAGCTGGTCAAAGATGAGAAATAGCTCTGATTTCCAAACAAGAGTCATTTCAATAGCCAAGGAAACAAAGTCCCTGGTACGATAAAATGCATTCTCTAAAGAACCTTCTTTGAGTTTGTTCCAGCACAAATGTCTACCTACAGTATTCATAGCAAACTCCAGCCAACCTCTGCATTTCCTTATTAGCTTGAAACTAAATGGCAGGAAACACCCAGGGGCACCAATAACACTTCAGAATCTTGTGCCAATTTCCAACTGGGTAGACAGTCCTGCAGAGCTAGTCTCTTAATACTTTGAAAAATTCCATTGAAATGAGAGATTACAAACTTGAAAGGCAAGTCCTTTTGTGCATCAATAAATAAAACATCAAAGTGATGATTGATCCAGAGATAGGCAGAAGTCGCGTGTCATTTTCAGCATAATAAAGCAGAGAATATGAATTCACATGAGCGGCCTGATTGGAAATAAAACAAACCATGCTTTCTGTTTCTGGAGTAACCTTTCTCCCCAGGAGTGATGGAGGCCTTAACACCATGGTACTTCGCCCACTTGTTCACTGGTGCCTTGTGTCTCATAATTTTTCCAGACCACAGAGAGCCAGTAAGTTATCTTCTCCGTTACAGTTCACTCAAAGAGCGTCGGGATATTGGAGAAAATGGTGGTGATAAAAATTCACAGGAACTCTGTGCAAAATTTGGCCACACATGCAAACGTCTATGAGCGAACAAGTTTAAAAAGTTACTCATGCTGTACACCTGAAACTAACACAACGTTGTTAATCAACTCTGCTCCAATATAAAATAAAAAATAAAATAAAATAAAAACAGTTATTCAACCTGTTATTGTAAAGTCTGTGAAGTCCCAGCATCTTCCTCCAGGCCGATTACACAGCCCAGCTGCTTTTTACCGGGAGTCATGCTACACAGCACAGTGGTGCAGGCAGCTTAGCTAATCCTAGGTGGCATGACTTACATAAATTACTCTAAGGTTCAAATGTTTATTTTGATTATTCTTCACTTATTTTAACATGACCAACATGAAGTAAACCAATCGTTAGACTATGCCCTTCCACCATCTAGGAATAACAATTATGTCGCAACAAATAGAGGACTTTACACTCAAAGAAAATTTAGATCTATCTAGTTCTATCACATACCCAGTGCAGTGACCCCCTCGGTGCTGAAACTCACGAAGCCATCCAGGGTCAGCTTGAACATTTCCAGAAACATTGCTGAAACCTCCAAGGCATGTCATTCCATTTCTGAACACTTGTAATTCTTTAAAAATTCTTTCTAATATTGGGATGAATATTAGACCCTAGTTCCACGCAAGACCCTAGTTCTGTCAGAAGAAATTAGACTCTTTCTCCACTTGACAGACTTCCAAATAACTGTTCTCCCCAATTCTTTTCTTTGGTAAAGTTTTTTCACACTTTCCTAATACGATTTGCATCCG